TCCCTCTCTTATTTTTAAAATATGTCACAAATTATAGAAATATTTTTAGTTGAAAGATATATATTCAAAATTTTCTCACTATAAAGAAAATTCTTTACATAAAAGAGTAATTAGTTGTATAAAATTTTATATGAAGATATGATTAGATATTTATGATTTGGAGAATATATTATTTTACGAATATTTTCCTAAATTTTGGAAGAAAATGTTTTGCGTATATTTCTATCCATTTTTTTAACAGTTTTTTTTTTCAAAAAAAAATAAAAAGCTCAAAACACACCAAAAGATGACACGTGTCATTGTGAGAGATTATTATTTATATACACCCTGGTGTATGGTGCATCCATGAGTATTTTGTTCTCATTGATGATTGTTTTTCATTTAATCAACAAATGAAGAACAAAACCCATGCCGGTGTACATAAAAAATTTCATGTCATTGCTAATGTATCTTTTAGTATATAATTATTGAAGGGGATTTTGTTGGGAATCAAATTAATTAAAAAGAGAAATGGAGCAAAAGTTTATTAAATAGTAAGGGATGTGAAAGGAGATAAATAATAAAAATAGAAGAGGGAACCATGTGAGGAGAGGGAAACAATAAAAAATATATAAGAGAATATGCCCAAGAAAAAGTAATAATTGATGTGTTTAAAGGCGGAATATGGGAAATTATATATATATATATATATATATATATATATATATATATATATATAAACGGTGGGAGTGCTTAGTAATAATATTTTAAATAAAACAAGCATGGATCGCAAATTGCCTAGTACGTAGTTCCTTCATTATTTTTTAAGAAAAATATACTTTAAAAATTTAGACGATAGGCGATTTACTTCTAATATTCTCAACTAAAGTTTATTATCTAATAATCCCAACTATGGGGTCAGTTTGCCGCTAGTAGTTTCAACTCACAACTGGTCATCAACCCGATATAACAGGTTACTTAGACACGTGGCATCGCGTGAGTGGCTCAACAAAAAATTAAAAAAAAAATCAAAATTAAAAAAATTGAAAAATTAAAATAAAAACACCCCTCTCCTCCCTACCAGCCACCCCCTACCCCAAGTCCAGCCGGAATCCGCCGTCGCCTCACCGGAAAACTCCCCCTTCCTCTTCCACCCCACCGAAAACAATCCTCTTCCCCAGCCCCACCCCCGAAACTGCCCCCTCACTTCCCCTTACCCCCTGAAAACCGCCTTTAACCCACCCCCTGTCCTCCACAAAAAGTATTTTTTTAAAACTAAAAATGTAAAAATTAAAATAAAAAATCATAACCAATCACAATGCAGCATGTGTCCTCTCTAACCTATGAAACAGGTAATCGGTCATTTATCCTATTTCTAGAAGATCGGTTTCAAAGGTCATTTAATTGGGGAATAAATAAAAGGTGATTTTATTTATGGAAGACCGAGCAAAGATCATAATATTCATGATAATTTTTCCTAATATAAAAGTTGAGTAAAAATTGTAAATAATCACCCCTCAAAACACCAAAATATGATTTTACCACTTATTTTTTTTTGTTTATTTTAAATAACCATCCCTTAAATAAATAAAAAGTTAGAAATCACCACCTTCAGTCTGATTTTGGCCAAATTTCCGATTGTGGACCCTTATAAAGTCTATTTTTTGGTTTTAAATACCTCTCCCCTCGATTTTATCCTCTCTTTCATGTTAACAACTAATTAATGCTCCCAAAAAATTGTGTTAAAATAAAAAATTTGGCAACCAAGCCAACGAATTAGTGTTCAATTCAGAGAGATTGAAGCTAAGATAAGGTAATTGCAATTGCAAAAGAACACCGTTCAAAGAGAAGATATACAACTTAGCTCCTCGGAGATATCTCGAGCGGTTTGCTGTGAAAAAAGCAACCTCTCCAATTGCTCACCGCAAGAACCTAGTTAAAATCGAACTCTCACCCATGGAAGATTCAGGAACCTCATCATCTTAGGCATGGGTTATTTGTTTCTTAAAATGTTGGGAGTTGATGATTTAATACTTAAATTATTCTATGGAGTAGTTAATTGCAGCTTGATAAATTAGAGTTTATGTTTGTGAAAATTGGGGATGGTTTTAGGGGGGAAATTCCTAACTCCTAAACACTCATAAGTTTAATAACTTATTAAGTGGCAAATATGAAAATAAAAAAAAAACTTTTGTATTATAAAATAATAAAAACACAAAAAATGCAAAGTTAGTATTGTTACCTACTGTTACCCTCAGTTAACAAAGTGTAGACTTTTCGTCCATACCGTTTGCTAGCTGTTAAGGGAACAAGGTAGGTGATACTATGAAATTACAAATTTACCCCTTGATAAGTTTTATAAAGTTGGGCAGCCCTCGTTTTAGGGTTTATTCTTAGCTTGTTCAAATTGGGACTAATTTGTTTGGATGATTTTTGTTTCATTTTGTTGATAATTGATGCTATTAAGGGAGAATATCATTGTTGGACTAATGTTGAGTATTGCAAGCAGAATAGGGTAGGAAAAATTAGGGTTCATGTAAATGAAATTGGGGATTTCTTAAAGTTGAACGATTTTGCAAATTAATCATATTTGTTAGATTTAATATGCTTAATTAGCGTTTAATTGTTCATTTTGTTGTCAAAATCGTGAAAATTGTGAAAAATGGGGTGGGAGATTAAAAGGTGGGCCCCACAGTTGGAAAATTGGCCGGAATCATACTAAAGGTGGTGATTTCTAACTTTTGTTTATTTAAGGGGTGGTTATTTAAAATAATAATAAAAAAGGTGGTAAAATCAAATTTTGATGTTTTGAAGGGTGATTATTTACAATTTTTCCTTAAATTGATGTTAGAGAGTGTTCAAAAATGCTTTTGGGGATTTAAAATGTGTATGTATGATATAATAGAATTTTCAAATTATGTGATTTAGGAAAAAGACCAATTTCACAAGCCTTAGGATGATTAATTAAAGAAAAATCATCATAGATAATACTTTAATTTTTGATTGGTTTAATTTAAACAAAACAACCTTTTGATTATTTCTTAATATTACAATCTTTGGGAAGGGGTTAGGTCTCAATTTTCAACAAGTTAAGAAAATAACTTGTAAGTTGTTAAATAGGTTATCCATGACACGTGTCATACAATCGATCTAAATTATTAGATTTTGATTTTTTCTATAAAAAAAAATTTTGATCAAAAAGAATGAAACAAAAAATTTCCTTCTTTCTCTCTCCTCCCCTCTCATGGCACCACCACAACCACTATGAACCTAGCCCCACTCCTTCATTGAACACCAGAAATCCAGTGCCCCTCCCCGAATGTACACAACAAACCCAACCCCCTTCCCCTCTAAACACCAAAAACCCAACTCCCCTCCCTTGCTGAACACCAAGAACCCGACCCCCTCTCTTCCTAAGCACCACAAACCCGCCCCTTACACCCAAAATCGGCTCCCCTCCTTAGCCCACCCTCAAAACCATCTCCCCTCCCTCCTCCAACCCTCAAAAACCCAACCATAGCCAACCAAACCCCCCTCCCCCCCACCGCAAGTGGTGTTGGAATTTTGAGAAAAAAAAGGGAAAAGAAAATCGGCTATCATAATTATTTATCAAGATATAATTATAACATAAAGATGAGGTAAATCTATCAGTTGATTTTCTTTTGAGAAATAAAAGTCATAAATGAAAATATTACCTCTATTTCTATTATTTACAACTTTGAATTTTTTTTTTATATATTACAAATAGTACGCCTAAGTTGCAAATGATATGAAACGTGAATAATACAATACTTTAAAAAAACGACCATATTTAATTAGTATAACATTTATTAACAAAAAAAAAAAAAAAAAAAAAGAGGAAATTCTTTTTGGTAACGCTATAGTTTTTTATTTTCTTAGTGGTAAATTGTAAAAATTCATATTATCCTTAGTAAACTTTAATTACTTATAATTTTTTAATGGTGACATTAATGAAATCATAAGCCTAACCCTAGTTAATTAAAGACTTAATGACTAATTTAACCATAATACTCAATTCTAGCTTTCCTTCCAAAAGCGTTCAACCACGAATAGCCCCTCCCTGTCTGTGACCAAGCCCTTACGCCGGCAACCCCTTCTCCTACGCTCGCCGGCCATCCCAGCCCCTCCTTCTCCTCCCTCGCGAGCTGTCTTTCATCGCCGAAATCCCCACCTAAAAAAGTGATTTCTGGGTTTGTTGTTCGTTCGTTAGGGTGATTTCTAGGTGGGGTTTAGGGTGTGGTGGGCAGTTTTAGAGTGGGGGAAGGGAGGGGACGCCATTTTCGAGATCTGGGGAAGGGATGGTGGTCCGATTCAAGAACTTAGCTGCTCGTTGATTTCAATCACATGCCATATCCTGCTCGAATTAGGGTTAGAACTTACGCCATTTTCGCCATTATCACAATTTGAAGGAGAATATGCAGAAATTAACCAACGAATCATTCAAAATTGCAAAAGAAAATTAGGCTTTTGGAGGGTCAAAGTGGGGGAGATTTCAAGCCAAATTCAGCGGATTTCGTTTGAGGAGGAGAGATTGAGGATTTGAGGGATTGCTTGGGGAGGGGGTACGGTGGTGGTTCAGGGGGAAGGAGAGGTGCGGCAGGGGTGGGGAGGCCGGCGCACTGGTGAAAGAGGGGCTGGGCGTGGGCGCCGGCATGGGTGGGGGCGGGGGAGAGGTGGCTAGGTGTCGACGAGTGAAGGTGGCGATTGGGTGGGAGCTTGTTCAGAAAAGTGAGAAAGGTGAGGAGGAAGAAAAAGAGGAGGATGAAGATGATGATTTGATGATGACAGATTGGGTTTGAGCGAGGACATTTTAAGAATTAGAGTGTATTAAGTGAGGATATTTTAGGAATTTCAATTTTTTATTTGAAAAAAATGTTAACCATGATTAAGAATTAACTAAATTGTTTTATTAAGTTCCCCGTTGAAAACTTATAACTAATTAAAGTTTACTAGAGATAATAAATTTTTTTATAAATTACCGCCTAAAAAAAATTAAATAATACAATGTTATTAAAGAGAATTTCCAAAAAAAAAAAAAAACAAAAAGAGCACATTTAAATGATTTTTAAAGCCGTACCAATAACCAATAAAATAAAAATGAAATAAGTAAGCCCAATCAACGACTATCATACATATACGTAAGCCCAATCACCAGAAAAGCACATTAACTGCAAGGTGGAGAATTCCATCATTCAAAAAGTACAACCACGCTACTTTTTCCTCCAAATTCAACCCTAAATTCTCTCATTTTCAATTCAAATTCATCACTAAATCCTCTCAATTTCACTTCTATCTCTTTTAATTTAGTCGATCGATTCGTCAATTTTGTCATCATCAATTTCAAATTTACCCCAATTACAGCTCGTCAATTAGGGTTTTCTTTTTCAGAATCGGATTCATTGGTTTAATAATTGATGGGAATTTCTAGGGTTTCCATAGAACCCTCAAATCCTTCTACTTCTTCTTCCTCGTCTCCGATTACCTCATCAATTGCTGTAATTGAGACTATTAATGGAAGCCATGAATTCAGAATTAATGGTTATACTTTGTCGAAGGGGCTGGGAATAGGGAAGTACATTGCTTCTGATACTTTCATGGTGGGAGGTTATTCCTGGGCTATATACTTCTACCCTGATGGTAAAAGTCCCGAAGATGCCGCGAGCTATGTTTCGCTGTTCATCGCCTTGGCTAGTGAAGGGACTGATGTTAGAGCTTTGTTTGAATTGAAGCTTCAAGATCAAAGTGGGAAGGAGAATCATAAAGTTCATTCTCATTTCGGCCGGCCCCTTGAGACCGGGCCGTATACTCTTAAATACCGCGGTAGTATGTGGTAAGCTTGGAGATTTCCTGCTCTTTTTGAATTTATTGGATCATTTTTTGTATGATTGTTGTTAATTTTTGTGAATTTGTTTTTTATGTGATGGTAATTTTGACTTTTGAGATTGGTAGGATGATGATAATACAAAATAGGCTGCTATTAGTTATGTATGATGTATTGTTATTGGTATGTATGCTGAGTGTTAATTTATGTGTATATGTTATGGGTGCTGGTGAATCTTATGGATGATTTTGTTGAATGAGGTGAGATTATTTAGGGATTTTGCCTGCCTTTTAAAATCAGGTGTGTGTGTTCGCTTGCTCGTTTAGTGTGTAGCGGTCATGATGTTTATGATCAGGTGAGGTGGTTTGGAACAATGTTGCTGTGAGCTGTGATATATAGATAACGAAGATAACTGTGGGTTGATTTAGATGGTTTGATGCTTACATACATATTAAGGTATGAAGAAACTGAGCATGAACCTGGAGGTCGATACTGACTGACTGAATAACGAAGATGGTATACGAAGGATGGCACTTTTGGTGATATCTATCTCAAATATGGGGCTTTTGGCTGAAATAGGTAGCCATTAGTATTTATGGAAGGGTTTTTGATGATCTCTATGTCTCAAATTATTGAACTTTATTATCTGGATAAATTCTAGTAAGCTCACTTAAGTGATTTTAAGCAAGTTACTTCTTGATCCAAATCCCTCTGTAAATATACAATTACAGTACAATTTCTCAACTGAGTTAATTGTTTGTTGTTAGAGTCATTTGAATGGGCTTCTAGTGGATAAATTTTATGTTTATTTGTTTGTTTATGCTTGTTTCTTTCGCTATCTCACTCTTTTTTGATAGGTTTTTTAGTTGTGTTGAAGCCTTGAAGGGCATGATGTTGTACATATCCCTCATATACATAAAAGACACCCCCTTAGGATCTTTCTATGTTGAGCCTTATTACTTATCTGTAAAAGAACATATGTGGTCATTATCTTTACATTTCATTTGTAATATTTTTTTTTTGTGGGGTTGGTTGGTTTTGATTTTTTCAAAACGTGCCTGATTTTTTATTTGGTGACTGCCCTGATAATGGTTTTGGCCTGATTTTTAATTGGTGATTGCCATGATGTTGGTTTTGCTTCTAACTTGTTGATTGTCTCAGGGGCTATAAACGCTTCTACAAAAGGACAACATTGGAGTCATCTGACTACCTTAAAGACGATAGTCTTGTGATCACAGGCACTGTTGGTGTTGTGAAATCGCATACAAAGGGACCTAAACAATACTTAATACCAGTCCCACCCTCTGATATAGGAAAGCAATTTGGGCAACTTTTAGAGAGCAAGACCTGTACTGATGTAAGCTTTGAAGTGGATGGGGAGATTTTTGACGCACACCAGGTGATCCTGGCAGCCAGATCACCTGTGTTTAGGGCTCAACTTTTTGGTCCGATGAAGGAAAAAAATATGCAGTGCATACGAGTTGAGGACATAGAAGCTCCAGTGTTCAAGGTCCTTTTCTGTCTTACTTCTCTACCCTTTGGTAATATTGTATGTATATTATTGCTTTTTCTGTTTGGCATTACTGCTCTTTTTCGAGTCTTTTGACTCTTTTCTTCTGTTTCTTTTTGTTTTGTTACTTGCATAGTCTTGGTTTTTGCATGCGTGACTGGACAAATTTAGTGTACTGGTGGTGAAACTGGGTGGATGTAATTCCTTGTTCTGGCTTGTGAGAGGACTGAGGAGATATCTCGGTCTAAGCCCCTACCTCGAATATGATGAGACCATAGAGCAATGTTTGCTCTATGGCGTTGCAAAAGAGTTTCTGTTAGATGCTTTGTTTGAGGTGTTAATTGGAATTTTCAGATAAGATTTGTGATTCTAAATAAAACACTCCCTCTTTGACAAAATTGTATTATTGTCTTAATCCATCACTATCAAGGATTCATAATGACTTTGTTTAAATAACTTGTATAATAATTGTCTCTTTCTCATCCTTACCCCATCATTTCCTCTGAGTTGGGGTTTAGGAAATGTGTCCTTTTTTTTTCCCAGACATCTAAATTAGTATTATTTTCCAACTGATGGAGTAGTACTATTTTTGTGCTCATCTAGGAAGTATCTTGCCCTGTAGGTTCTTGAAGAAATGTGTAACAGTAGCTGCTAAGATATGCCTATATTTAACTCAACAATATCAACAATTGTTGAGGATTACAAATCATAGCAGTGGGTCTCTGCATGGAGCTTGATTATTTTTGAAGTATCATAGTTTCTGCTGTATTGCACCTTAGCTGCAGAACCACTCAGGTTATAATCTCTCTCACTAGTATCATCTTTTTGCCAAGATTACACTCAGATGGCCTCCCCTGTTCCGTACTAGCATTTAAAATAACCAAGTGAGTTTTTGGTTTGAACATGAGAGGAGCATGATTAATGGGTTACATTCGAGTTGATTACTTTATGAGTTTCTTTTTCTCTGTCTCCAGGACGTTGCATGCTCTTTTACCTTTGCAGATAATGCCTAAAATCTTAATAGAGATTTAAATCTTTTCAGTTAGACATACTGGATATAGATGGCTCAATGTGGGGTCTTTTAAGCTTTTGGATCGTAATTGAGAGAAGCATTTGCCATTTTTTTCCTCTCTATTTATAAAGATTTTTGTATTTGGTTTTTCACATTGATGCCTTATTTTGGCTTTGTTGAAATAAGCATTGCAGACTTCTCTCATGGGACTTTTCTTTTGGCATCGCTAATATCTTTCATGATAATTTTTCCTCTACATCAGTAAAAGAAGTTATAATTTTATACCAGTGTTTGACAATACAGCTTTATTTCACTTGAATTGGTCATTATGTATAAATTTATTTTACTTCTATTGATGGATCAGATCTCATAACTGGTGCTATGGCTTTGAGCAATAGAGCAATCTATTACTTTGCTATTGCTTCTTTGTTGCAGACACAAAGAATGTTTCTACTTGATTACTATTCCATCTTTGAAAATTAGAGTGGGTTTTTTTTCTCCTCTTTCAGTAGAGTTTCTAATTTTTCGTGTTTTAAATTACAGGCTTTGCTGCATTTTATTTATTGGGATGAATTGCCAGATATGAACGAGCTGATTGGTTCAAATTACAAAGGAGCTTCAACCTTAATGGCTCAGCATATGCTTGCTGCAGCAGACCGGTATGGACTGGAGAGGCTAAAACTTCTATGTGAGGCTATACTAAGTGGAGATGTTGCCATAAATAATGTAGCAACAACTTTAGCCTTGGCTCAGCAGCATCAGTGTTTCCAACTAAAGTCCAAGTGTCTGAAGTTCATTGCATCGCATCAAAATCTAAGAGGTAAGCTAGACGGAAAACTTTTTAGACCTTATTAGAACTTGTTTTAGTTGTAAATTGGACTTGTGTAGCCCTTATTACCCTTGTCAGAACTTATATTTTCTGAACTTATGTTTTCAAAAATTATCAATTTCTAATCCTGCCTGAACTTATTTTTCCTGAAATAAGTAGAGATAAGATAAATAGAACAGAGCCTTAATGATTTATGATATGTACAAATAACTTGTGCTATTATGCTACGGAGTAATTCATAAGTCTTGTTTAAGAGCTGAATGTAATTGTGTTTGATGTTCAACACTCTGTGTGTGAGATATTATTGTCATGACTCTATGGGTAAGAATTAGGGAAGCAGCTTCTTCTTGTTTTTGGTTAAGTGTTCTGCAAGTAGTTTAGGTGTGGTAGTCATGCTTTTGGCTTTTGTTTCCTTTTGCATCTGTATCTTGTCTCAAACTGTAAGGTTTTCTAACAAATACATTCAAGTTGATTTAGTGGCACATTTTCTATACTCGTAAAAAGAATTAGGAAGCAGCTTATTTATGTTATTGGTCAAGTGTACTGCAGATAATTTGATGTGGTAGTTATAGTTTGGCTTTTGTTTACTTTTGTATCTGTAGATTATCACTCTTTAGATTATCGCCACAATTTTATATTAAAATGACCATATGGTTTTTTTTACCTATGCTTCATCACTTTCATGATATTTTGAATAGCTTTCTGATATTGTAAATGGTTTGTTTCAGCCGTAATGCAGACAGAAGGTTTTGAGTACCTCAAAGAGAGCTGCCCGTCTGTCATTAGTGAGCTACTGGAGTACGTAGCGAGAATTAGTGAACATTCTAAGGCTTCTTTTGCCAATGGAAGTGAGGTCACTATGCTGGATGGTGGCGACATGAATGGAAGAAGAGTGAAGCAGCGGTTATATTGAGTACATAATTTCTTGTAGAATTATTCGAGTTAATAAATTAGGTTGTTAGACAATTAAACAGATCCTTGTTTGTTAGACTTTGTGAATGTATTTGACAAGGTAATCTCCGGATATTGATATATAGGGGCAATTCTTTTAGCATGGTTTCTATGAAATGTTAATTTTACAGCGTGCTACATAAGACAATCAACGCTAATACTCAGTAATATACTATGAAACCTCTTATGTAAAGCACAGGTTCAAATTCTTCTTTCCATAATATTTGTAATTTGTAATGCCATTGTGGCTTTTGAAAAAATTTGAATGCAAAAGAAAATATTTTCCTTGGATAATTTTACTTTCAAAATAGCCAAAATTATTAGGATTCAAGAAAAAGGTTTCAAGAACATAGTACAACGAAGTAAACTGCCATGGAGCTATGCAGTTAAATTGCATCATAGTGCATGATGTTCTTGGTTATTCACCACCTGTAGAACTTCTGGTACTTCCTCACATTCGGAGGAACATAATCCTTGTGCTTCCATATGCTTTTGAAAAAGTTTTAGGCTTTACAATGTTATGGGAGTTATCAGGTATGGTAATCCAAGAAAAGCCATGACAATGTTCAGTACAGATCAGAGGGCGGGTTTCACTCATTGCTTAGAAGTTGAGGTTTGGGGATGCCTATCTAAAGATGGCACTAGGCGGGCCGGCCCGAAGCCCGGTACAACCCGGCACGAAAAAAGCACGGCACAACACGATACTATGCAAGTGGGCCCTGGGCTGGGCCTGTGCCGCCTTTATTTGGGAGAAGCACGATAAGAACAGCACGACCGGACTTGGCACAACAAAGCATGCTAAAATTAATGCAATTTTGCTTAGGCACGCAAACCCGACACGGCTGGCACGATGGCACATGGGCTTGGGCCGTGCACGGACCAATCTTTTGAAAACTTCGGCACAACACAGCACGACACGAAACTCGTGGGCCGAGCCATGGAACGGGCCTAACTAACCCCAAAGAACGTGGGCATGGCACGACCCAGAGCCATCTATACGCCTATCCATGTGTAATGTTATTCCTAAGTTATTTCATATCTTTAACATGATATCCCTTGTTCTAGCAAAAGATCTCATAGTTCAACAAAACCATAGCGCATGTATCAATTTCGATCCAAAATTCAAGATCAATTTGATTGATGTTGAAATAGAGAAAATACTAGTTTATCAACAAAATATAGGCCCCACATTTGTTGATATAATTACGAAAATGCCATGCTGACTGGACATTTTTGTTGATTTATTTTCGATTTTGTCACTTGATAAACGAATTTTGTAAATCAAGGTGATAAATTTGGACTCTCTCATTTTCTTTTAGATTAATTACTATACATATTTTTCATCACTCCCTCTGCATAACTTTGACCACTAATATTTGTATGAGTAATATACTTTATCCATCACCAAATGTTCTTGCTATTTGGACCGTGCACGTATGCCAATTAATTTTTTTTACAATAATTATAATTAGTTGCTTATCAGTGAAAAATGAAACAATTAAATATTAATAAACTATTCGACTAATAAAAAATTATCATTAAAATATAAATAAATAAAGTGGGACCCTAATGTCGGATAGTAGTGCACAGAAAGTGTCAGCTCATTTACCTCGCTTTCTGTGAATCAGAACCTTCCTTACTCTCAACTCTTCTACCCCGTAAACTCTCTCTCTCTCTCCTCCCACCAAACAAAGAACAATTCTTCATCCCCTTTACCCTCCCAATCCCATCATTAAACCCTAATTTACCCTCCTCAATTTCCCCAATTCCTATTAATCTAACCCCTTTTTGCTTCGATTCAGCAACCATAACCCCTCAATTTTTGAACCGACACTCCAAATCGAGTCAATTTCAAGCAAAATCGATCCCAAATTAGAAAAATGGGGATTTCTAGGGTTTGTGGGGATTCCGCGAAACCATCTTGTTCTTCTTGTTCAACGGCAGTAACAACATCTACTGCTAAAATGGATACTGTAAATGGTTCCCATGAGTTTAAGATTAATGGGTATGCTTTATCTAAAGGGATGGGAAGTGGGAAGTATATAGCTTCTGATACGTTTATGGTGGGAGGGTATTTGTGGGCAATTTACTTCTACCCTGATGGAAAGAGTCCTGAAGATAATGCTACTTATGTGTCGTTGTTTATCGCTTTGGCGAGCGAGGGGACCGATGTTAGGGCGTTGTTTGAATTGAAGCTTGAAGATCAGAGTGGGAGAGGGAGGCATAAGGTTCATTCCCATTTCGGTCGGACACTTGAAAGCGGGCCGTATACTCTTAAGTATCGCGGTAGTATGTGGTGAGCTGTTCTTCCTTTATGTTTGGAAATTGCATAGACTGATAATTTTCTGATTGTTCTGTTGTTGACTTCTTGTTTTTATTTTGGTGATGAGATTGTAATGGTGGTATCTTTGTTCTTTAGTATCATTGTTTGGAATTAGGTAATTGTGCAATTTCTGTTATGCTTATATTTTTTGGTCATTTGGTAATGAGCTAATAAGTGGAGTGGTAGATTAGTTCTGAATGAATAGAAAATAGCCTTGGAAGGTATGCTCATGTGTAAAATAGACTTTCCAGTAATAGATATATGAACATTAGGATAATGACTTTCTTATCTTGTAAGTGTTTAATAGAATTTGGTTGTTAGGTGGGAAAGGAAATTTAACTTGGAGTATCTACTAATAATTTCATCTTTTAGTTGGATTATGATTGATTTAGAATTAATTAATTTTTGTCAAATTTTGGTGTTCTTGAAGATTTTGCCGTAGATTATTATCTTTTCATTCTGATTTTGCTGTATATTATTATCTTCTCATTCCTATTTTGCTGTATATCTATTATATTTCTCACTTGTCTCTTCCAAGAAAGTGGTGTTCAGTTGTGGGGGGAAATCAGTCTGCCTTCATTACCTGGAGATTACTTTGTGTTTCAATGTTACTTAATTTGCTTATTTCTCTTTGTATTACCACTAGCCAGAATAAAAAAATAAGAAAATTATTCGTGAAACTGGTAAGTTATGGTCTAAATTGACATATTAGGTAGCAAGTACTGGTGAATCAAGTAGCACTGCTCTTACTGGCCCATTTGAGGTAGATTTTTAAAAGGATTATGATTTATCATAGATTAAGAATGGCTTAATTGGAACTAAATCTAGCGAATTTGGTGTTCCTGATAGATTTACTGATTATGAGGCTTTAATGAGATTCTAGTCAGCATCTAGATTTTTTGATAGCTATCTTGACCCCGATACAAGCATAGTTCTTATCCACATAGCTGATGAGTTATTGGCTATGCTTGAGTGCCAGGAGGGATGGATTGATTTCAAGTACCTTAGTAGAGCATTACTTAGTAAGATAGTCTGATTGTTGATTATTAATTGTTAAGGTTTCTGATGGTTTGAAGCTGGATCGCCACATCCCCATCTTATTGTTGTCATTTTGTGATTATGCTAAAGTTCATAGATAGTGTCAAAAATATGTGGGATATGTCAATGAAGCGAGATAGATCATGGGTAAGATGCATTCAGTTATTATATATCTAAAACCAGAATTATTTGGAGATGGCTACACTGATAATTTGTTCTGGTCTTCTCGATAAGTAGGTAAATCTTTGTGTTCATGCCTTTGCTGCAGAATTGAGACCAGTACTTATGCAAGGGCGAGGCTCTCATTAGAGGAGTACCAATATCTTGTGGGCCTTGCTATAAAACAAGCCTTGCTATAAAACAAATCTTTGTGGTCCATTCACTGTACATATATTTAGGCTATCTTTCAGTTGGTTCATTTTGGATCCTATCTTTTGGGTCTTGTTATTTATAATGATTATTTGGATTTTGGGCTGTAATACATGTGCTCAAGACTAAGATTTCTGTTGGCTACTTGTGCTGGGTGTTTGGGTCCTTTTCTTCAAGCCAAACCATCTAACCTAGCCCATTCCATTTACTACTATCTTAAAGCCCCACCAATTAAGAGTGTAGGCGTAAAAACTGATAGGACCCATTGTGACATAAGTGCATAACAACCTTATTTGTATTTATTTTTTAAAAATCTTTTTCGGGTCCCAATTGAAAGAATAGAAACTGGTGTGCAGTCTTTGCACCCCATTTATTTGCTTAAGAACGAATTCAACAATCACATCAAGCCACAACAATTTTGGACAAAGAACATCTCATGATCAAGGAACAATATAAATCAATAAAAAATGAGAAGATTAATTTGAATACGGCTCTCTTTATTTGGTTAATATTTAGAGCATAGTTGATCAAAAAGTATGTTAGCAAACACTGCCAAAATATGTGTAATTCCATCTTCAAATTCTTCTTTAAAGATTACCAGAAAATTGTAACACAATGTGACAGAAACAATAGTCGATTGTTTACCAAAGAATAGAGCAAATGAAGAGGGTCTACAGTTTTAACATGAGTTAAACATGCTCTCAAGGTACAGGGGACCACGAAACAAATGGGTTTTAATTTTCTTTTGATTTCCTGCAGTCAATTCATCCTTTTGTGCGTTGTCCAACATTAATTCTCCTCTCCATCTTATGCGTCCCAGGATATTACTATTATCAATGAGCTGAGCTGAGTATTTCATTGTTCAAGTTAGGCTTGATAAGATACGCGAGCGCACCCAAGTTTTCCTTTAGCCTGTTTGATATTGTCTTGTTTTGATTTGTTATTCAAGCTTGGCTCATGAGTAACTCGTTTACAATCTAGCTAAAGCCAAACTATGTCAAGTCATTATATAAACGAGTAAGATCAAATTTAAACGAACATATTCCCTTTGTTCCCATACGTTCGACTCACTTATTTTAGACTCTTGTTTCTAGGAAAGTTTGTAAAAAGTCTGTGGATGTGAGTAAAAGGTGGGTGAATGTAAGAAAATGGTGGATTAAATGTGTATGTGTGTGTGTGTGTGAGAGAGAGAGAGAGAGAGAGAGAGAGAGAGAGAGGGAGAGGTGATTTACTATAATTGGTTAATGCAATATTATTATAACTTTTATTATTATTTTAAAAAAAAAAAAGAGAGAGAGAGAGTGAGTGAAAATGTGTATATAGTGTGAGCAACAGGGGTTACGTAATAAAAGGGTTATGCTAAAAGGAATACAATTAAAAGTGAATCAAACTTTTTGAAACATTCTTAAATGGAAAGCGAGTCAAAGTTTCAGGGATGGAATGCAAAATGCTATTGATAATGGTTATATGATTATTATAGCCTTTCTTAGGATGTGATATACATGCAATGATGTAACATATGTTTTGGATACTTTTTATTATATTGACCCTAAATGTCTCAAAAGATGTTATTCATAGCCTAAAATAAGATAATGGCCATGAAATTTTGATTGTTATTTTTTTGTGCTCGGGCGAGTTTTAAATGAGCTTATAAACAAACATAAAGAGCATTTAAACAAAATCGAATAAAATGTCTGCACTCCTAAATGAGCTGATACCAAGTTCTTAATTAAACGAGCTTGGAATATTTTTTGGCCTTTTTTTCTAATGAACAAGCTATCACCAAGCTTTGACCGTGCTTGTTCAAGAGTGCATCGGTTCATTGACATCCCTATCCGGGATGGATCTCAAGCCATATGTCATCTTTGTTGTGCCGGAGATTTTTACCCTTTGTTGCTGGAATCCCAGTTGCTGGAAGATGGTTTTGTTAGTGAATTGGGCAGAGAGTGTACAATGTTGTCCTATATGAATGTTGAAAGGAGGATAGTGAATCAGGTTGCTCGTGGATTGGTTTATGCCTCTATTAGTGTATTCCCATGGAAAAGCTCCCACATTGCATGATCTGTATTTATTTTACTCTTGCATTTTTTTCTTCTTTTTTTTTTGAAAAAAAATTATTTTTATTTTTTTGGATTATTACATTTGCCAACTTGATTGACTTTACAAAAAAAAAAAGCCTCTTTATTGTAATTTTGTAAAGTGTTTTGTATTATTTCTGTTTTCATCTTATCTCCCCACCTTTAATTGTTTTAATCCTTTTTTTTTTTCCCCGATAGTTTGTAGTGAATTTATGACTATATTAGGGGATACAACTCGGTGAGATAGGTATATGAAATAAGAAATATCACCTTCCTAAATGTAACACGTCTAGATTGCATGTTTAGAGAAGAAAGAATTAGAATTGCATGAACTGAAGTTGCAAAATAAATCAAAATGTTATGTAAATTTGTACTACAAGAATAGTTATTGAATATTATATCTTAATTTGATTAAATTGCGAATAAAATGGATGTGGCCGATGATTCGAAATAGTCTTTGAAGTACAAAGAAGACTGTAGAATAATAGCTTGGAAGCTATTAAGAGGTTTGGCTGAGAGATCTTTGCTCCATGGAGAGCACCTCAAAATCATATAACAGATGCTCTTTAAATTCCCTCAAAGTTTCATCACAGATTGCTTAATTTGTATTCTTCTGGCTTAATGTCATTTACTTCTTGATGAAAGGTTTCAACATAGCCACCTACTTAGCTTTCTGTTGTCCTTCCTGCTTCATACTTTTCATCAGCGTTTTTTTTTTTTTTTTTTTTTTTTGGTAGTGGGTGGTTGAATGTCATCACTTACTTGCTTTCATGTTCTTGACATACTTCAGGGGCTACAAACGATTTTATAAGAGGACATCTTTGGAGCAATCTGACTACCTTAAAGACGATTGCCTTCTGATTCGTTGTATTGTGGGAGTTGTGAAGACACAAACAGAGGGACCCAAACTTTACAGAATACCAATGCCACCTTCTGATATGGGACAGCAGTTCGGACAACTTCTAGAAACTAAAAGGGGAACTGATGTAAATTTTGAAGTTGATGGTGAAGTATTTGCTGCTCACAAGTTGGTATTAGCAGCACGCTCACCTGTGTTTAGGGCTCAGCTTTTTGGTCCAATGAAGGATAAAAGCACAAAATGTATAATTGTTGAAGACATTGAAGCACCAGTTTTCAAGGTTTTCACTTCTTTCTGATCATCTTTTTATCTGTCTTTGTATTGCACTTGCATGTTACTGTGGTGGGATTTGAAATATGGTTGTGTCTGCTCCTTGTTGCCTTTTCCGCTCCGTTTAATTGTTTATGGAAATCACATTGCTATGCAAAATTTTTTGCAGTGTGGATATAGATGATATATAGATTGTAATGAGCTTTGCACCCTACCCTGTCATTATTGTGCATGATTAGGGCTTTGGTTAAGCTGAAAAAGAAAGACTAGGCTTAATTTCATATGGAAATTATTAACTTATTATTATGGTCTGAGTTATTTCCTAAGATGGTGACTGAGCTTGGTGATTTGGTCACTTATTGTTTAGTTTTGGTTACCTGTTTACTTTACAATTTTGATTTTAGAATATACTTCATTTGCTGTTTTTTATTTTTGGGGAGGGGGTTGGTTATGGTTGCTTACATCTACACATTATCAGACTGATCCTATGAACAAGTGGTGATGGTTTTTGATTAAGGAAAGAGTTTTTGAGTATTGTACTATTTTCGTTCACTTTCTCTTTGGGTGCACTATAAGTTGTTCAATTTTGAAACTTCAGTAAGATAGCTTTAAAAATGTACAGTATCTTGATGCTTTCTTTGAGGCTCATTGGCTACTTTTATATGGAATAGAAATGTTCCATCAAAAGGTGGAATCTGATGACTCGCAGTTGAAAAGGTCTTTTCCTTATTCTAAGTGGCTTCATCATCTTGTTCAGCAGCGGTTCCTTGGCTTGATTACCCTACCAGGTTAAGATTGTCAAGGGCTCTGATCATCATTAAGTTGGTGGTTTGCTAAATATAACTTACTGTATACAACTCTGATCCACAGGCGTTGCTTCACTTCATATATTGGGATGACTTGCCGGATATGCAAGAGCTCGCAGGTTTGAATTCCAAAGGGGCTTCCACGTTAATGGCCCAGCATTTGCTAGCTGCTGCAGATAGATACGGACTTGAACGGCTCAAACTGCTTTGTGAGGCTACCTTATGTGAAGATGTTGCTATAAACAACGCTGCAACAACTTTGGCATTGGCAGAGCAACATCATTGCTCCCACTTGAAATCTGTTTGCCTGAAGTTTGTTGCATCACGTGAGAATCTGAGAGGTAAATCACAACTATGACTTTTCATCATGTACAAAGGCTTCTTATTGAGTATTGAAGGAATATCATGTTAAAACTCATTTTTGACCTGAGAACTAGTCAAATTATCCATACTTGATCGGAATCTTTCTGAAGTTATTTTAGTTGTGAAGAGTGAATTGAACTTGTGTAGAGGAGCACATCTGAACCTATAATTTATCTGACTTTACAACTTACATACTTTTTGAAACTGAAAGACCAAAACTTAAAATTGAAGACTACTTTATAATCAAGAAAATCTTGTTTCTCTAAATGATTAGGTTATGCGCATTCTTGGGCTATTATTGTTTAAGCACTTTTTTGAAATATTGATATCTGAAAATAACGAAAGAATGTCTTTGGGGTTTCAGCTGTTATGCAGACTGAAGGGTTCGAGTACCTGAAGTTGAGTTGTCCATCCGTAATTAGTGAACTACTGCAATTTGTTGCTAAAGTCAGTGAGCATTCTATGTCTTTAGTGGGTTTTGGGAGTGATCCGATGCCAGACTGTGGAGACATGAATGGAAGACGTGTGAAGCCAAGGATATTCTGATATATACATATACATACATATATATATTTCTTTTTTTTTTTTTTGGGGGGGGGGGGTGATTTGTTGGTTGCTGTTTTGTTTGTTCCATTTTCTTCTGTTTGCAACATTTTTTCCTGATCTGTGTTAAATTGTTCTGGTAATTGTTGTATGTAGTAATTTTATACCATAAAGAGAAAGGGTTTGAATGTGGCGGAGGAATACTCAACTCCATTGTGTCGCTTTCGTGATGAAATTCAATAACATTTGAGACTGGTTTAAGCTTTATAAATTCAAAAAAACAAGAAAGATCAGAAAACTCTGTATATTGAGTGTAGAAGCTATAGTATATGTTACCCAAACTTAAAAGTAGTAATAGTGTGGTGATGGCTTGGGTTGCTTCTTTTTACTTGTATAATTTATAATTGTGTTCGACTCTTTCTTCTTTGTGTTTTGGTATTATTTTGAAAGTTTCTATCAGAATTAAGTTTTTGCGATGAGGTACAAAACTTGTCGCCATTGTACACATATACACGACCAGATTACTTGTCTAAATTTTTTCAGTCGTACGTCATTTTTCTCACATACAACTAGATTACCAATTGGTTGTTTAACGTCAATTTTCTACTCCTTCATGATGTAAATGTCAAATTTTCACTCCTTCATGATGTAATTGTCACTTTACTATATTAACTTACGTAATCAATGATAGTTAAACCCAAATGGAGTAAGAACTAACCACCCTAAACCAAAAAGGAAAGAAGAAGCGATTGAGTTGCAAGAGTACACAAGTGTTTAAAAAAAATTTACTTGTATTGATGAACTCTCAACTTAATTTGTACAATTGATACTTGGAACCTATGTAGTATAGTGCTCGATCCTACTATAGTATTGAGAAACTTTCTTAACTAGCTAACCTCCTCAAATGAAGGGTTCAATTCTAGACTACGACCTTGTAATACACACATTATTATAGGCATCTAAAATTTCAAGGGTTTTTTTTTCGTCAAAAAAAATAAAAAAAAAAACAAAAAAAAAAACTTGAAATTTTAGATGCCTCGATATTTAAAAGGTGACCAAGACAACAGCAAGAAGGGACAATTAAATTATACGAAGTACAAGTATAACTAAGCAATTCTTAATCTAAAATAAATTTTACTTTAACCTAGTAGAGATCGGATGCGTTTGACTCTATGAACAATTCTAGAAACAACCATATGTTCAAGTACTCTCTAAAAATACAAGTGATTATTTGAGTTTTACCTGCAAATCAATTTGATAATTTTACCTGCAATATCGAGCTACAATAATTCTTTCAAAAATTTCATCAATTAAATGCATGTAATAACAAGTGATTACATCTTCTGAATGCAACAAATTCAAGTTTATCAAATAAATAGGAAACATGCATCCTTTTATAAACAATAGGGTTAGTTAAGGAAACTAAAATAATCACATGAAATTTGTGAATAATCTCATGTATTATCTAAAAACAGTGTCAGAAAAAATACAGCTGCATGCATGCGGCCCTAATAATTAATAATCAAATTAAAACATCTAGAATTAAAATTACTACTTCTCAATACGAGTAATTAAAAGGTAGTACAGCACACTATCTAATTAATTAGAGCCAAGTATAAATTTAGGGTCTATCTTTTTAAGTTTTTCACCTTTTGGGATCTCATATGTTTTTTTTTTTCACCTTTTGGGATCTCAAGGGTATATTCCGGCCAAAAAGTAACCAAAGGTGAGTAAAAAAGATAGTCCTTCAGTTAAAAAGTGAGTCCCTTAAAAAGCTACCCTGGAAAACTAAAAAACATAGGCCCCTATGTATGTTATCTATGTTAATCTTTAAAGGAAACTTCCCTTTTCGGTTGGAAATTTTTGCTTAACCAAAATTATCCTTCAAATAAAAGGACAATTTTTTTATTTTTATTTTTTTTTAAAAAAAATACTATAAACGTAAAATTGATTTTTACATTTCCGTTAACTAATAATTAGTTTTATAGTTTAAAAAAAAAAAAAGTTTTATAAATTATTGCACAGTTGTCTTAAAAAGATGGACAATTATATTGCTCATGCCACTTTGTAAAATCACGTACAACTAAAAACTGCTTTATTATTTTTTTGAAATACAAATAACCATATTTAATTTTATCATACAGTTTATAATATATATATATATATATTATCATAAATTTTTAATTTATTTTTATTAGTTGTTAATCATATATATCTTTTTTTATTAGTTCTTAGGAACAAATATGTCTATTTATATCTTCTCTTAGGGCCTGTTCTGATCTATTGAGCTGAACTAAGCTAAGCTGACTGAATTATTTATGACACAAGAAAATTAGGACTGAAATTAAGCTGAAGAGAACGGGTCCTTAGTCATGGACAATTTTTTAATTAGGAACAAAATATACAGTTACCTTAAAAAAAATAGCATGTGAGCTGTTCATCCCTACTAATAATAAAATTAAAAAAAAAAACATCCCCCAATAATATAATAACCCAAAAAACGTCAAATATAATATTTTTGGGTTATTTTTTACTTTTTTTCCATGTTTTATTTGTAATTTTATGTTGTAAGAAACGGAGTATAACATAATAAGTTTATCAAATATGGCAGGACCTATCTTTTTTGGATATGAATGGCAATTAATTAGGGACTCAGGTTTTTTTTTTTTTTTTTTTTTTTTTGTGTGTCAAAAAGTTAATGAAGGGACTGTCTTTTTTTGTCAATTAATTAAAGAAGGGACTCAGTTATTTTCGAATGATTTGCCAAATTGGTATTAACTAATAAAGAAATTACTAAAATAGTGTTCACTTGAAAATATTTGTCAAAGTGGTGTTTACGTAGGTTTGGAAATTACAAAGCTAGGAGTTAAAACATGATAGCTAAAAGCCTAGAAACATAATTGAAGAGACAATTTTTTTCTTATAAAATCCTAATAAATATGTATACCATCAAATTATTTATCTTTAATGTTTACAATATCTTAATATGTGTAGCCTTGAGCCTTAATTATTAATGCTTCTGTATTTTAATAGCAAAATGGATACAATAAGCACTAATGAAAGTATGAATTATGAATACAAAGTAATATATATACGTGTTTAAAAAATTTCTAGCATTTTTGGTATGGATATACCTTTTTAAGAAAAAAAAAATTTGTGTAACATAATACATATGCATTATTTAGTCGGACGTAAATCATCAAAGGGCACTTATTAATCACCATAGTGTTCTTGAAACCTACTGTATCTAGTTCTACATCGTAATATCAATTTGGAGACTATATTACACTATATTACTAAATAGCTCAAAACATGTCATACTAAGTCAAAAACTCAATCTCTAAACACAACTAATTGTTTATACTTAACTCAATTAATTAGCTAGGATTAACTTGATAATACTTCTAAAACATAATACTTTAGACAAACTTAATCCATCGAGTATCGATACCCTATTACTTTTCCAAACTGCTTCACGGGTGTTCCTTTGATAATCACAAAGTGAAGAAAGTTGTTGTGCCGAAATGTTGCAAGAAGAATGGCATCATCTTTTTTTAGCCCATGATCATTCTTAAGTTTAGACCACTCACCACTTCGTCCGTTCTTCAGAACATACTTATATCCGGGATCCCTATATTCCGCCTTTTGCTTCTCGCTTTGATTGTAATTCCATCTAGTTAGTAGTATTTCATACACCGACATTCCAACAATTACCTTCACATTTATATTCGAGTTTTTATTTCCATCCACCTTTAAATTAATGTGTTCTTCCTCGTGATTTGTTAGAAACGACTCAATGAGACTATTTCTTGGAATGGCTAATCGTCCTTGATTACCTTCGATGTCGTCTTTTGTGAGTTTCTTCTCCATAATTATCTTGGCATCGGTAACTTCTTGGTATGTCAAATCGCGCTTCATATGGTCAATAATTGATGCTAATAAAACACCATCACCATCAATAGATACTCGATCACTTTCGGTTTTTGAAAGGGTTAGTTTTGTGGAGATAATAGAATTATTACTCAACTGTTTCTTGGCTTTTGGTTGTTCTTCTTGGGAAGTACTTGGTACGGAAAAGGCCATAGCATAAGTCCGTTTATCGGCTTGCTTCCGATCATCATTCTTGTTGATGACCATAGTGTTTTGTAGGGTTTAAGGCTTCGCAATATGAAATTTACTTGATCAAAGAAAAAGAAAGAAGGAAAATGCTTAAAGGAACGAACGAATGTGCCTAGGGTACGTGAATAATTTTTGCAGGGTAAAAAATGAAATTGCATGATGATGATTGATATGATACATATAGGAATAAATGAAGAATTTGGGAAGAATTAGGAATAATGAGTTACTTGATGGCCAAGTAGTTTCCATAAATATGTTGTTTAGCTAAGTGATAATTTTTTAAAAAGATAATCTTAATCCCTCTAGATTATGTTATTTTAGAAAATATTTTAGGAAATAAAATTGTAACTACAGTAGATTTTGTTGTTAAAGAAGATAAATGTAATAATCTTGGAAAACAAAATCGAACTTAGTCACTCTAAATCATGTACTCCGTAGTATTCTTACTAGCTAGAGGACTCTTATTTTCAAAGCTATTGACTATTAATTATCTTGAATTCTATTAAAATAAATTATTTTGAATTTCAGTTTTTATATTCTGATCTTTGCAATGTGATTTTACTTAGTATAATGTAAATAATGATCCAACTGGCCAGTTGTTTTGAACAATTAAATTGGTTATAAGTTATACAATAATGATAAAACACTAACGGCAGGTAATATCGTATAATAAAACTACAATTATATTGTAAGAGATTTATAATTATAAAGATTAATGCATGTATCTAATTGTATACGCCTTACCCCTTTCAAACTCGTTTCAAGTTAATTGATCATAAAAATATATGTATGATTATAATTAATTTTCAACTTGTTTATCAAATGTTAAATGGAGAACAATAAAAATACAACTTAATCATCTTATGTAATTTAATGTGAATCAAACTCTAATTTTATTTTAATTTTTAACAAGATTATAATATTTTAAATTATTATTTCATCTATTTGAACAGATTTTAAATAAAATAATCGACATGTTTGTGTGCACCAAGAATGTTATGAGCTATCAAAAACTTTTGTTTACATCTTATTTACAATACACAAACTATTGGGTCAGTCAAACCTGACCAACCGTTTCATCAGTCTAGTGGGTTTGTTGGCCCGACTTTTTTTTTTAGGAAATTTTGTTGACCCGACCTGCATTTAAAAGACATTTGCCGAGCCCAACAATACCTATTTCTCCAGCCCACTAACTCCCTCAACATTATTCTTCCTTTTTTTTTTCTTTTTCCAAAATAAACCGTCATTTGTTCATCTTCAATTTCAAGTTTTTGTTTTTGAATTTTCTGTTTTCATTT